ACTTGTGCCTCTGAAGCACGTTCTTGAAGTTCACACTCATGTGAAGAGGCAACACATGCCTCTTTAGGTTGTGGCGAGTCCTTGGGCGAATGGACTCTTATATTAAAACCTTCATCCTTTTGTGAGGATGGAGGAGTTATGTGTGGATGCCCGGGAGTGCGTTCCACAGAGGATGAAAGAGTATCCTCTGTGGCGGTTGGATAGGTTGGGATCGGCTTGTGCGAGCCTATTTCAATAGAGGGTCCCTCTAGAACAGGGCCTCTAGAATCGTGTAATGCACGGGGAGTTTGGCTTGGTTGTGTGCCAAGGGCATCTTTTTTGCCGTCGCCTAAGTCTTCTTCTTCATTTTCGTCGTCTAAAACGACTTCTGTGCCCAAAGTAGATGCATCAATGGTCGCTGCGAACTACTTGTGAATATTCTTTAGAACATCTTCAATTTGTTCTGTTGGGGAGTCGTCGACGATCACTCTACGCAACCTTCTGCGCTTTATAGGAGTTGTATCCTCTACCACTTCTTCTTCGATCAAAGGCTCTGTAGGCTCTGTGGGCTCTGTTGTTTCAGCCTTCTTGTGTTTTCTTTTCTTGTGTTTAGGCAGAGGCACAGTTGGGCCCTCTCCTTCTGCGGGACTCTTTTTCGGCATTTTCTTCTCAGAGGTATCATCAGCCTTCTGAGTCTTCTTCTTCTTATGTCATGGAGGTGAGGGAAGCTAGGTGGGTGCTCACTCATCTCACCAGCCACTACTGGCTCCTCCAACCTTTCCTCAACTCTCATTTTTTCAATACACTCACCTAGGGGTACACCTATGCGTGGTGGGGTTGCAGGCGCCTATTACCACGTCTGTAAGCTTTCCTTTCTTCCTGCGAGAGATAACGGAGCATGGCTTTTGAGACAGGACGGGGGCTTTTGTAGCCATTTTCGTGTTCCGTAGGCTTGAAATCCTTGAATGGGTATAATTTTACGTTAGGCGCTGCAGAGGGAAATCTTTGTGCTAGGAGGTCTCCAAAAGCAAGACCAAGACAACGTTGGAATATCAGGTTTGGTTGGTTAATGTCTTCTTTGGCCTTCTTTTGAGCCTGTACTTTCGATTTTTCTCCCTTTTGAGTGACACATTTCTTCTTTATGAGCCCAATCATATCCTCAAAAATGAGTTGAGCATAGTCCAAAGGCAGATTGAAGTAAACACCATATAGGATTGACAGCATGGCGTGTGAAGCTTTATCATGGCTACCTACCTTTCCTGTGAGGCAGCAATTTAGGATGGAGAAGAGGGTGTTCCACACAGGAGGTAGGCATTTGCGCCTGAATTGAGTCCGTTTCGAAATGGGGGTGGCATAAGAAAGAAAGTCCAAAAATTGGAGTAATTCACTGTCGGTGGGTGTAGGGGCAAAAGCATTTAGGTTGAGAGATTGAAGAGAAGGCAAGCGAAGGGCGGTTTGAAGAGTGTCCACATTTAATTCCAATGGGACAAGAGATTTGTTCACAGGGTGTGAGGCGTAACCAACAATGGTTAGCCCAGAGTTATCAAGGGTAGTTGTATATGCACTCAACAAAAATTGAGTAATGTAGGTTTCTGGAATTGGACGAGTGGCAGTTAAGGCATAAAAGAGAGGATGATTCTTAAGAATTGAAATAATGGTGTAGGTAGATTTGGGAAAACCTGAGAGAGATGGGACGAAGAAATAGTTGTTGGGCTTCTTCACCAGCATGACCTTTTCGTACTTGTTTTGGATGAATGAAATCGCGTGAGATGTTAGGGCTTGTGCCTGAGTGACCTCGTTGTCACTTGAGGCGTTCACAGATTGGGCGGATGCAGTTGAAGAAGACATATTTGCTGGTTTCGTTGAGGGAGAGGGAGTTGCAGGTTTTGTGTGTTCGACTGGGAGTTATGAGAGCGTAAGGTTTAAAATGGGGGGAAACAGGGTATTTATAGGTAGGGTATTTTAAAAAAAATGAACCGTCAAAAGTAATGAGTGACAGTAGGATAAACGGTTCAAATTAATCTGACACGTCGTATGGGGAAGACGTGCGATTGATGACGTGCGCTCCCTTTTTCTGACACGTGCGTGTGAATTGTTACCCTTAACCACAGAACCACGCGCATCATATCTATAGACGAGAACTATCACGAGAGTTCTGTCAGAGGCCTAAGGGTTACAGAGCCTCTATGATATGTGTCGAGCCTTCTGTCAAGTGTTGCACCTTTATACCTAAATGGTTTTACCAAAAATCCACAGAGAGATGAGTATATTGCTCAGCACAAACCACAGAGCCTCTGTGTCACACCCCGCTAAAGCAGAAACACGGAATGCTAACAGACAGGCGAGTCTTGGCAACAG